TAAGTATCCTAATTTTTAGTTGCAATGGTAAATGGGATTGTTTGTTTAGTTTCTCTTTCTGAGAATTCATTATTGGTGTATAAAAAAGCCATCATTTTTTGGGTGTTGATTTTGAATCCTGCTACATTGCCAAATTCATTTATTAGATCTATTTTTTTGGTGGAGTCTTTAGGGGTTTCTATGTACAATATCATGTCATCTGTGAATAATGAGAATTTTACTTCCTCCTTTTGAATTTGGATGCCTTTTATTTCTTCTTGTCTGATTGCTATGGCTAGCACTTCCAGTACTATGTTGAATAAATGTGGTGAAAGCAGATATCCACATCTTGTTCCTGTTGTTAGGGCAAATGCTTTTAGTTTTTGCCCACTGAGTATAATATTGGCTGTAGGTTTGTCATATATGACCTTTATCATGTTGAGATATGCTCCCTCTTTTCCCACTTTGCTGAGAGTTTTTATCAAAAATGGGTATTGGATTTTGTCAAATGCTTTTTCTGCATCTATTGATACGATCATGTCATTTTTGTCTTTCAAGTTGTTTATGTGATGTATCAAGTTTATTGATTTGTGGATATTGTACCAGTCTTGCATCCCTGGAATAAATCCCTCTTGGTCATAGTGTATGATCTTTTTAATATATTGCTGGATCTGATTTCCTAATATTTTGTTGAGGATTTTGGCATCTATGCTCATCAGGGATATTGGCCTATAATTCTCTTTCTTTATAATGTCTTTATCTGGTTTTGGAATTAGGATAATGCTGGCCTCATAAAAAGAGTTTGGAAGTGAATTTTTCTGAAACAGTTTGAGGAGTATAGGTATTAGTTCTTCTTTGAATGTTTGGTAAAACTCCCCGTGAAGCCATCTAGACCTGGGCTTTTGTTTGGTGGGAGTTTTTGTTTTGTTTTGTTTTGTTTTTAATTACTGCTTCTATCTCATCAGTTGTTATTGAACTATTCAGGTTTTCTGATTCCTCCTGATTCAGTTTTGGGAGATTATATTTTTTTGTTTGTTTGTTTTGTTTTGTTGGCATATAGTTGTTCATAGTATTTTCTTACAATCCTTTGTATTTCTGTGGTGTCAAGTGGTTACTTCTCCGCTTTCATTTCGGATTTTATTTATTTGGGTTCTTTCTCTTTATTTCTTGATGAGTCTGGCTAACGATTCATCAATTTTGTTTAGCTTTTCAAAGAACCAGCTCTTGGTTTCATTGACTTTTTTGTATTGTTTTTTTAGTCTCTATGTTATTTATTTATGCTCTAATCTATATGATTTCTTTCCTTCTACTTTGGGATTTTCTTGTTGTTCTTTTTTTAGTTCTTTAAGTAATAGGGATAAATAGTTTGTTGCTGATTTTTCTTGTTTTTTGAGGTATGCGTGTAGGGCTATGAACTTCCTTCTTAGGACTGCTTTGCTGTGTCCCAGAGATTTGGGGTTGTTATGTGTTCATTTTCATTTGTTTCCATGAAGTTTTTTATTTATTTCTTTATCTTGTTGGTAACTCATTCATTGTTTAATAACATGCTATTTAGCCTCCATGTGTTTGAATGTTTTTGGGTGTTCTTACTGTAGTTGATATCTAATTTCATTCCACTGTGATCTGAGAAGATGCTTGATATAATTTCAATCTTCTTGAACTTGTAGAGACTTGTTTTTTGTCCTAACATGTGGTCTATCTTTGTGAATGATCCATGTGCACTTGAGAAGAATGTATATCCTGCTGCTTTGGGGTTAAATGTTCTATAAATGTCAATTCAATCCATCTGATCCAGTGTGTCCTTTAGAGTCACTGTTTTCTTGTTAAGTTTTTGTATGGAAGATCTATCCAGTGAAGTCAGCAAGGTGTTAAATTCTCCTACTATGACCATGTTGTTGTTGATCTTTCCATTAAAGTCCTCTAGAAGTTTTTTTTTTTATATATTTAGGTGCTCCTATATTGGGTGCATATATGTTTACCAGAGTTATATCCTCTTGTTGGATTGATTCCTTTAGTATTATGTAATGACCTTTGTTGTCTCTTGTGAAGGCCTTCATTTTGAAGTCTATTTTGTCAGATGTGAGTATTCCTACTCCAGCTTTTTTTTATTTTTCATTTGCCTGGAAAAAATTTTTCCATACCTTCACTCACATCCTGTGTGTGTGTCTTTTTTTTCTAAGGTGGGTCTCTTGTAGACAGCATATAGTTGGGTCATGTTTTAGTATCCATTCAGCTACCCTATGCCTTTTGATTGGAGCATTTAATCCATTTACATTTAGGGTTATTATTGATAGGTACTTATTTATTGCTGTTTTAATTCCTAGAGAATTTGTGTTTCTTCTTCTCATTACAGCGGTCCCTTTAGCATTTCTTGTAATGCTGGCTTGGCGGTGATGTACTCCTTTAGCCTTATTTTTGTCTGGGAAGCTCTTTATTTGACCATCTATTTTGAATGATAGCCTTGCTAAATATAGTCATCTTGGTTTCTATTTTGAATGATAACTTTGCTGGATATGGTGATCTTGGTTTCAGATCCTTACTTTCCATTACCTTGAGTACTTCATGTCATTCCCTTCTGGCCTGTAGAGTTTCTGATGAGAAATCAGGTGTCAGCCTTATCGGAGCTTCTTTGTAGGTAAAAGTTTGCTTTTCTCTTGCTGACTTTAAGATTCTCTCTTTGTCTTTAATTTTTGGCATTTTAATTATGATGTATCTGGGTGTGGGCCTGTTTGGGTTCTTCTTTCTTGGGGTTCTCTTTTCCTCCTGAAATTATGTGACTTTTTCCTTTATTAGGTTAGGAAAGTTTTCTGCCATTATTTCTTCAAACACATTCTCTATCCCTTTCTGCCTCTTCTGGCACACTTGCTATTCTAATATTGTTATGTTTCATGTTGTCTCACAGCTCCCTTAAGCTGTCCTCCTGTTTTTTAATTGTTTTTTCTTTTTGGTTCTCTGATTGAGTGATTTTTTTTCAACCCTATCTTCTAATTTCAGTGATTCGATCTTTACCTTCCCCTAATCTGCTGTGTATTTCTTCCAATGTGTTTTTTATTTGTTATGTCATTCTTTATTTCCGACTGTTCTTTTTTCATAGTTACTATATCTTTTCTGTTGAGCATCTTTACCGTCATTATTCTGAACTCTGATTCGGATAAATTTTTTATCTCTGCTTCACTTATCTCTTCTTCTGGAGAATTCTCTTGTTCTTTCATTTGGGGGTTGTTTCTTTGTTTCTTCATTTTGGCTGTCTGTTTGGGTTTGTGACTATATATTAGTTAAATCCTCTATGCCTCTCAATCTCTAGTGCAGGACAGTGTCAAATGCTGTTTCTTTTTTTTTTTAATATTTTTTTATTTTTCGCTTAAAGTATTACAAAGGGTATTACATAAGTGTCCTTTTTTTCAAATTAGATCAGGCAAAGACTCAAAGCCTCCAGAGACTGCCTCTGCCTATAGACTGATAGGATTCTGACTTGAATTGCCCCCAGGCAATTGTCCTCAGGTATAGCAAGAGTTTTGTTTTTGTTTTTCCCAACAGGGTGGGGCATTTGCTTCTGCCTGGAGACTATTATTTTCAGTCTGTTAAGTGGCCTCAGGGCAAAGTGTTTTCCAATAGGGTGGGTCAACTGTCTTGCCCCCAGGCAAGGCAAAAGTCTGTGTGGGAAAGATGTCCTCCACTGTGTGAGGGAATATCTCAGCACAGGAAACCAGGGGTTTCTGCCTTCTGAGCTCTAACTCTTGAGTCCCCAAATCCTGGCTTCTGCTGATACAATTCTAGTCCACTCTGCTCTCCCTCTGCTGGAGCACAAAGTGGGTGGCTCCACAGGGAATTTTGTGTGTTGGCCCTTTAAGAGGATGCCTAAATTTCCAGCCATCACTCCCTGGCAGAGAGCAACCTCACTGCTTTTTATAGTCAGATGTTATGTGGGTACCCTTCTCAGTTCTGGTGCTCTCTGCTTGGGGGCCCAGCTTTGGGATTAGATCCCAGAGTTCTCAGGGGCAGCTGAGATATTTCTTCGGAACTTCAGTTGCTGTCTGTGGGTGCCCAGCCAGCCCTTTCGAGCCTTGGCCCCTCCTACCAGTCTCTATGCTGTCTCCACTTTCAGTCCTTGGGTATCAGGATTCTCTCCAGTGAGTCTTCCATTGATTATTCTGGAAGTTTTTCTGTATTTTAGTTGTAATTCCAGTTTGTTCATGGGAACTTGTCCGTGCAGCATCTACTTACTCTGACGCCATTTTATGTGACTCTATTTTGTTCCCTTTATTAATGGGTCTCTCTTCTGTTTTGACGTTGTTGAGTATTTGTTAGTTATTCTCTACTTCCTTGAGACTTTCATCCCTGGAATCCCTGGCACTGCCCTTGCTAGGATCTCCTCTTAATGCCTGACTCTATTTTCTAGTTCTTTTGTTTGTTCCTCTTCTTCTATGGGTTCCTGAAATGCTGGTGTTCTGAAGGTTTCTTTCTGAACCCACTGTTCTTCTCACTATGCATTAAGTTTTCTACCTTTTTGGTTAAGACCCTTTAAACAACCTGTTGAAAATTGTAGAATATTTCTCCACCAAAATATAGAGCACATACATTCAAAATTTAGTATAAACTTTCATGATCCACCAGAAGCCATATTAAGAATCCGCTGTATTCATTCTAGCTGGGTTATTTCATTTGTCTCTTTTATAAGATGACTTCCAAATTTCTTAAATTGATCTTGGCTTCTCTCCATAACTTAAGATGCATATTCTTCCTGAATTCTTTCATTGCCTGGGTTCAGATCCCTTTGACCTCTCACCCAGACTACTACAACAGCTTTTAACTCTTCTCCTTGCTTTCAGGCTTGTGTCCCTCAGATCATCCTCCACAGAGCCTCTAATGATTTATTATTCTGACCTTTTCAGCTCTAAGGTCTGATTCTTTATTTTCTATGGAAATAGTCCAAACTCTTCCATGACACACACTCCCCCACCATCCCTCCTTTGTGAGGGATCCTTCTTGTGCCTACTATAATCTGTGCATATCTTCATTATCGTATAGACTTTAAATAGAAATTCTCTTTTCCAGTGCTATCAGAATTGAGAGTTGAGCAGTTAATTGAAGAAGTTGATTAAAGGTAAAGTTATCAAAAATAATACATGCAAAAAATTTTATGGATAAGCAAGGAACTTGATATAAAAGTAAATGCTAAGAAACATTTAAATTACCTTCTTAATGTTTATATGCTACAGAAGAGTAGAATTTATACATTTCTGTAAAGATTCATTTATGCCAATAATGTTTTATTTTTCTTTATTCTGATGAATCTTTTATTAAATTAAAAAAGAATATTACTTATTATGTTAAAAATACATGCATACTTAAAACATATAAAGACATTAATTTGCCAATTTTTTCATATATGACCAAGGCACTTTCTTTGAGTATGGGTACTTGATTGGAATTCATTGTTCATTCTTGATTAAGCTGAACCCAGAATGAATCCTCTAGCTTTTTGGTTTACATGAAAGTTTAACTTTAAATGAAAGAACTTAAGCCACTTTTGCAGCAATCTGAGTACAGAATACTAGATTTGTATGATTTTCCCACTACCAATTTTCAGTTGAATTGTCCATATCTAGTTCAATAGTAGTATGTTTTTCTAATGAAGATTTACTTTTGTAAAGTCTTTCCAAGGCATTAAATCTTAGAAATAACAGTTGTCTTTGTTTTTAAATTACATTTTATTGGTTTGGTTAGTGTAGCATTTCATTAAAGTATAATTATAATACAAGAATGTGGTTTGTGAACATACCCTCAACTGAGGGGAATAGAGATTGCTTCATGATCAGAATGCTGTAGATATTGGTAATTTTTATAGAGGAAATTGACATTGTGTTGATAAATATGGCAAAGTTGGTTGAATGGAGGTTGGTTATTTTTATGGCTAATCTCCCTTTATTACAATGCTAGAGCCCCGGTGCAGGAAATTCATGAACTCGGTGTGGGGGGGAGGGGGTCCCTCATCCCGGCCTGCGCCCTCTCGCAATCCGGGAGCCCCGCAATCGATAGCCCCACAGAGGGTGGCCTGGGCCTGCATCTTTGGGGTGATTGCGGAGCCTCCCCGGATGGATCGCCCTGCTGGCCGGTGGCCTGGCCTCCCTCTGCGGGTCAATCGTGGGGCGATGGTGGAGCCCCCGACCAATTGCATCGCACCCGCCTTGGCTGGCCTGGCACCAGTGCGTGTCATAGCATGGTTGTCCGGATGGTCGTTCTGCTGTTCGGCTGTTCGGTCAATTTGCATATTACGCTTTTATTATTATAGATGAGTTCTTATAAAGCAAGAGCTATATATTTTTTCCATTTCTGTATAGCTAATACTTAATTTTTATATTGCAGTTATCATTTAGTATGGAAGAAGATGAATTTTTTGGAGAAAAAACATTCCAGCATTATTGTGCAGAATTCATCAAACATTCACAGCAGATAGGTGATGGTTGGGAATGGAGAACTTCAAAGGTAAGAACAGAAAATTTTATTTCCCATTTTGAAAGAGTTTTTTTTTAGTTCTTTTTTTGCCATGTAAACCCTTAGTAATTAAAACTAATGTATGAAGCTAGGTTGATTTAGTAAAGGGCTTAAATTAAAGAATATTTTAAAACAGATGTCCATTGTATTACTTCAACTATATGTACTCATTATAATTAGGCTAATGAAGTATTATCTAGAAAAGTCTTTAGGTGACTTGCTTTAATTTAATAGATAAGAATGCTTAGCATATTAATTATCTGAATATAAGCAGATGCTTCTGTGGTGCTTCAAACCATTTGTTTACACTGTTAATTTTCTTAGGAAACTGTTTTTGTCCAGAGAATGAAAAGATAATCCTGAAACCAAACCATAGTCAATCACAAAATCTGAAATATTGAAGGCTGTGCTAATTAGGATATTTTTTGGTTATGTTTCTTTATTTTTATTGTTGATAAATTGGGAATTTTTTAATAGTATAAACACATTTCAAAACATTCTTTTGGTTCTATTCAATAATAGTCAAAAGGTCTATATACTCATTTACTTTCACATATATATCTAGTAAGGTTCTCTGTCAAAAGCTTTTTCAGTTCCTTGAAAGCCCTTTCTTAGAGAATAAGTTTTCTCTACTTGACACCTTATCTGATTCCTGAAAAAGTGATGAATCTCGATTCTCTGCAGAATGGCTGTGTTTCCTATCTGCAGTCTGAGAAACATGAACCGTTTTAAGCTGATTCCTATGATTCAGAACTAAGCCAGGGAAATGCAGGTCTTGATTGGGTCTAGAGTATCACTGGGGAGAGAAGCCATAATTCCTTCTTGGGTTATATGTCAGCTCAGTTTTGACAGGGTAGCTCATGGGATGGTTCAGAGGTATGGTAGAGTCCAACTCCACTATCTCAGTTAGGGACAGGACAGTCCACACACCCCTAGGGCATCTCCCGCTCTAGGATAACATGACCTTACTGGCACCCTTTATTAATTTTTGTTCCTATTTTATAATTTTGTTTGCTATTGTGTTCGTATTTTTATTCATATTACTAGAGGCCTGGTGCACGAAATTCATGCACGGGAGGGGGGGGTTCCCTCAGCCCGGCCTACAACCTCTCACAATCTGGGACCTCTGGCTCCTAACTGCTCGCCTGCCTGTCTGATTGCCCCTAACCACTCTGCCTGCCTGCCTGATTGCCCCTAACCACTCTGCCTGCCTGCCTGATTGCCCCTAACCACTCTGCCTGCCTGCCTGCTTGCCTCTAACCACTCTGCCTGCCTGCCTGCTTGCCTGATCGCCCCTAACCACTCACCTGCCTGCCTGATCGCCCCTAACTGCCTCTGTCTGCCTGCCTCATTACCCCTAACTGCTCGCCTGCCTGCCTAATCACCCCTAACCACTCTGCCTGTCTGATCGCCCCTAACCACTCTGCCTGCCTGCCTGATCGCCCCTAACTGCTTGCCTGCCTGATCGCCCCTAACTGCCTCTGCCTGCCTGCCTGATTGCCCCTAACTGCTTACCTACCTACCTGATCGCCCCTAACCACCTCTTCCTCGGCCCCTGCCTCTGCGGCTTAGTCTGTAAGGACTTCCGGAATGACATCTGGAAGGTCGTTTGGCTGTCTGGTCTAATTAGCATCTTACCCTTTTATTACTATAGATTTCTTCTATGATTATTATTGACATACTAGGGGCCCAGTGCATGAATTTGTGCACCTTGAAAGGAACTGTGGGCCACAAGGCTATGGTGGGCACAGGGCAGGTCTCGGCCCATCCTCCGCACCCCTGCCTGGTCCCTCCCACCATGGCCCCTGGTTCCCTGTCTGCCGGCAGCCCCGTTCCTGCTGCCACTGCTCCCACATGCTGACAGCTCCGGCCCTGCTCACACCCACTGACGGAGCAGTTGGAGCTGGCTCCAGCAGCGGGTGCAAGCGGGGCCGACGCTGTCAGTGGGTACAAGTGGTGGCTGCTGCCCTGATTGCCCCTTAGGAGCAGGGGGAGGTGGAGAAGCCCTCAGGGGCAATCAGGGCCAGCAGCCTCAGCTCGCACCTGCTGATGGTGCTGAGTGATCAGTGCTGGCGCCGGGCACCGGCAGCGGGTGCGAGTGGGGCCGGTGCCAGCAGCAGGTGAGAGTGCCAGGCAGGACCATGGTGTGTGGGAGCAAAGAATTTTCAGTAACCACCATAGGCTCGCCCTGATGACAGTGACCGGCATCCCACATTGGTCGGGTGCCCCTGCTCACCTGCTCCACCATCCCGCCGTGGCCGATGCCTGCCATGTACCACACTCTGCCGCCTGCTACCGACGCCTGCCATGTTCCCCGTGCACCCCTGGTAGTCAGCGCACGTCATAGTGACTGGTTATTTGGTTGTTCAGTTGTTCGGTTGTTCTCTCGTTTGGTCTATTTGCATATTAAGGTTTTATATATAGAGAGAAAAGAACTGCTAATTTTTTTATATTAATTTAGTAACTATTCAATCACTGATTTCATAATGCATAGTCTTCATAATTTTTCAGTGATTTCCTTGTAATCTTATAGGTAGAGTGAGATCATATGCAAGTGAAATTTTTTTTACCTTATTTGTAATATTTTTCTCTATTATTTTATGAATTGGTTAGAAAATATTAATAGTGATAAAAGTTCTCTTTGTCTTCATCCTGATCTTAATATTAATGTTTCTGATATATAATAATTAAATAAAATCATTGGTTGTTGGTTGTTTATTCATTTAATGAGTAAAGGTTTCAGACCCCTTTTCTTTTTAATCTTTATTGTTGAAAGTGTTAGATATGTCCCTCTTTTTCCCCCATTGACCCCTTCTAGCCCACCCCCACCCCCAACCCCAAGCCTTCACCACCCTATTTGTCTGTGTCCATGGCTTATGCATATGTGCATGCAAGTTCTTTGGTTGATCTCTTCCGACCCACCCACCCTGTCTAAAACCCCTTTTGACCTTTAATAATTTGTGTGGTTACTCCTTGGGAACTTTCTCTTTTCACCAGGTTTCCTAAAAAAAGAATTTTTCTTTTATCTTAAGCTAGAGACAGAATGATATAGATTCCTGTTACCATTTCTGTGACCTAGCAGAATGAGGAAGAGGAAGGTTAGGGAGGGAGCTGGGACTAGACTGCATTTGTGTGTGTGTATGTGTTGAGGGGAAGATCTCCTGGAGGGAAATTATATCTGTCAGTAGCTTCTTCACTAAATTTGTTGAAACTAGTTCCTCATGAACCAGTTTCCAGGATTTGTTTATATTATTGTTTTGGCCTCTGCTTCAGGGATGGGGATGGCTATGTATAACTTCTTGTTTGCTGCCACTGTCTGCTGTTAGGAAAATTTCCTACCCTTTGGGGTAGGAATTGCACTTTTAATTAAGGATTGTTCTTTTTAATGTGGGGGTGAGCCCATAGATAGCATCAAAACAAAACAAAACGCTGTTGAGAGAAGATCTCTGTAGCCTTAAGGTAAGGACTGCAAAGTCAAAACTCTACAGAGAGATCAGGTGTGGTAAATAAATGGATGAAGCTGCCAGGGACTCGACAACATGGACACTGAGTCCTGTGGTCTGTGGCTGAACACAGTGGTTGGCCTGTTCCAGGTTGGAAACCTGGACCCTTGGGTACCAGACCTTCCAAAAAAAAGTAAAAGGATTTGGGGGGAGAAATTTCTAAAATTTTAAATGTTGGCAATAATTAAAAAAGATATTTTAAAAACACAGTGAGGACCAAACCCAACATGCCAGTAGTGCACAATCATGGAGTCTAATAATGCATAATAAGGAGGGCTATTTTTTTAATAGAAGTTGATGACTTCTATTAAAAAAATAGTCATCAACTTCTATTAAAAAAATAGCTGTATAGCCCTAACTGGTTTGGCTCAGTGGATAGAGCGTCAGCCTGTGGACTCAAGGGTCCCAGGTTCGATTCTGGTCAAGGTTATGTACCTTGATTGCGGGCACATCCCCAGTAGGGAGTGTGCAGGAGGCAGCTGATCAATGTTTCTCTCTCATCGATGTTTCTAACTCTCTACCCCTCTCCCTTCCTCTCTTTAAAAAATCAATAAAATATATTTAAAAAATAGCTGTATGGAAGTACAATTGAAAAACATTTAAATTATATAATGAATAAGTTTTGACATATGTGTAGACCTGTGAACCTTCAACACAGTTAAGAAAGTGAATATATTCATCACCCGCAAAAGGTCCCTTGTACACTTTTGTAGTCCCTCCATCTGCCCTTGGAAGTTATTTTTTTTTAAATATATTTTATTGATTTTTTTTAACAGAGAGGAAGGGAGAGAGATAGAGAGTCAGAAACATCAATGAGAGAGAAACATCGATCAGCTGCCTCCCGCACATCCCCCACTGGAGATGTGTCCGCAACCCAGGTACATGCCCTTGACCGGAATCGAACCTGGGACCTTTCAGTCTGCAGGCTGACGCTCTATCCACTGAGCCAAACCGGTTCCGGCAAGGAAGTTATTTTTTAAAAGAATCTTGTTTATCCCGATATATAGAGGCTCCTTTAAAGAGTACACATATTACTACTCACATTCACGTTTGTTCATAAATCACTTTGGCAATATTCATTTTATTTTTTAATATTGAAAGAATTGCAACAATATTTAGAGAACTGGTATAATTCAACTTTATAGATAAGACAAAACATCATTTTTCCCCTGCGAAGTTGATAAGAAAAACAGAGTGAATTAATGAAACATGTAATAATTTTAAAAAATTATAAAGAAAGCAGTTTCTAAATGTAGTCAAAACAGTTCTAATTCTTATATCTGGAGGCATGCAGAATGGGAGAAGACTTCTAAGTCATTATTTGTCAGTGGGACTTGATGCTGTTGGCATCTGGGCAGGACAGTTCTTGTTCTTTTACCCCAAGCATTTCCAAACTCTTCAAGTAGGTGGTATACTCTCACTGAGAGCTACTGTTTAACATGATGGTCTGTCTGAAATGAATGATTTTGGTTAAGAGCATTGGCTTCA